GGCCGTCTTGGGGCCGTCCTGAGCCACTCGTGCGCAGCCTTGGAGCGCTCCCGGAGGCCTCCTAGGCCGTCTTGGAGGCCTCTTGGGCCGTCTTGGACGCGGTGAAAGCCCAAGATGCGAACATGCGAAAAATATACGTTTTCCCATAGGAATGGCACGATTTTTGTTTCTTGGACCTCTCTTGGGGTGCCTCTCGGAACGTCTTGGGGTGCTTTTGGGAGCCTTTTGGCGCCTCTGGGCGGCATTTTGGCGCCTCCTGGAGCCTCTTGGGCCGGAAGCTCGGAATTCGAGGTTGGCTTTCTCCGTCTGGGACCCCTCTCGAACTCGTCTTGGGGCTCTCTTCGGCCGTCTTGGGGCCGTCCTGGGCCACTCGTGCGCAGCCTTGGAGCGCTCCCGGAGGCCTCGTAGACCGTCTTGGGCGCCTCTTGGGCCGTCTTGGACGCGGTGAAAGCCCAAGAGGCGAACATGCGAAAAATATACGTTTTCCCATAGGAATGGCACGATTTTGCTTCTTGGGCCTCTCTTGGGCTGCCTCTCGGAGCGTCTTGGAGGCTTCTGGGACCTTCTTGGTGTCATGACAGGCGTCTTGGAAGGCATCTGGAGCCATCGGAGCGCGTTCCGAAGCCGCCTGCGAACGATCTTGGACGGCGTCCGGCGGTCCGACGAGCCTCCGGGCCCCCCGGGGCCCACATTTGTGGTCGGGGTCCCGGCCCCGGGTCCCCGGACCCGGTGCGCCGTTATATGTATATACATGTAAATATACACACGCATACACGCACGTATGCATGCATACACGAACGAATGCATGCATGCATGCATACATGCATGCGTACATAAATACATACTCGCATGCATACATACATGACATTACACTACAGCTCAGCACAGCACAGTAAAGTACAGCACCATACATTACATTACATTGTCGTACATTACACTACATCAGACCGCATTCCAATTCATGACACTATATTACAATACAGTACATGACAAACATACATCTATATATACACACAGACAGACAGACAGACAGACAGACAGACAGACAGACAGACAGACAGACAGGCAGGCAGGCAGGCAGGCAGACATACATGCATGCACACATACATACATGCAAACATGCATGCATGCATGCACGCATACAGATATAAACATACATATATACATACACATATGAAAGGGCGCGCTCGTGGCAAACTTCACATTCGAAGGGGGCCCCAGCTTCAAGCTACCCCCCTTCCCGTTGCGGGCATTGTTCAGCTGGGGGGGGCCTAGCTCAAGGCAGGGGGGGGCTTGGAGGCAACCCCCTCCTCCCCACCTCTTCGGGGCCCAGGGTCAGCCCGGGCTCCCCTTTCAAATGGGGGGGGGCTTCCGAAGCTACCCCCCCGCCCCCATTCGTTGTTTTTTCTATTTTGTAGCTGGGGGGTCCCTGGTGAAAAAGGGGGCTCCCCTCCTTTTCGGGGCCCGGGGCAAGCCGGAGCTCCCCTTTCCGAAGGGGGGGGGCTTCCGAAGCTACCCCCACCCTCCCCTCCTTTCGTTGGCTTTTCCCGCTGGAGGGCCCTAGCTGAATGGAGGGATTCGAACCTACTTTTCTTCTTTAGTTTTCGGCGCCCCGTTGGTTTTCTCTGCAAATTTGTAAGTTTTGGCATATCATTTTCAGCGCCCAGTGGGCCTTTGGCGCCCCTTTGGTTTTCGGCGCTGTTTTGGTTTTCGGTACCCTTTTGGTTTTCGGCGCCCCTTTGGTTTTCGGCACCGTTTTGGTTATCAGTCCCCATTTGGTGTTTGGCGACCCTTTGGTTGTCGGCGCTCCATTGGATTTCGGCGCCCCTATGGCTTTCGGCGTCCTTTTCAAGTTCGGCGACCCTTTGGTTTTCGGCGCCCTTTCGGGTCCCGGTGCCCATTGATTTTCGGCGCCCCTATGGTTTTCGGCGCCAAAATGGTTTTCGGCGCCCTTCGGCTTTTCGCGCGCCTTCGGTTCTTGGCGCCCTTTGGTTGTAGACGCCCTTTTGGTAATCGGCGCGTCTTTGGTTTTTCGGCGCCCATTTGATTTTCAGCCCATCGTTGGCTTTCGGCGCTCCTTTGGTTTTCGGCGCCTCTTTGGTTTTCGGCGTTCCTTTGGTTTTCGGCGCTCTTGCGGTTTTCAGCGCCCCTTAGGTTTTCGGCGCCCTATGTTTTCGACGCCCTGTCCGTCTTCGAAGCTTCTGTTGTTTCTGGCGCCCCTTTCGTTTTCGGTGCTCTTATGGTTATCGACGCCCCTTTGGTTTTTCGGCGCTCTTTTGGTTTTTGTTGTGCCCCTTTGTGTTCCAGCGCCCCTGTGGTTTTCGGCGCGCCTTTTGGTTTTCGGCGCTTTTCGGTTTTCGGCATAATTGTGGTTTTCCGCGCCTCTTTGGTTTTCGGCGCTCCTTTGGTTTTCGGCGCCTCGTTGGTTTTCGGCGTTCCTTTGGTTTTTGGCGTTCCTTCGGTTTTCAGCGCCCCTTTGGTTTTCGGCGCCCTTTATGTTTTCGACGCCCTGTCCGTCTTGGGAGCTTCTGTTGTTTCCGGCGCCCCTTTCGTGTTCGGCGCTCTTATGGTTATCGGCGCCCCTTTGGTTTTTCGGCGCTCTCTTGGTTTTCGGCGCCCCTTTGGTTTCCAGCGCCCCTGTGGTTTTCGGCGCGCCTTTTGGTTTTCGGCGCTTTTTGGTTTGCGGCGTAATGGTGGTTTTCGGCGTCTCTTTGGTTTTCGGCGCTCCTTTAGCTTTTGGCGCTCCTTTTGGTTTTCTGCGCTCCTTTGGTTTCTGGCGCATCTTTGGTTTTCGGCGCCCCTTTTTGTGTTCTGCGCTTTATTGGTGTTCGTCCTCCTTTGGCGCGCCCTTATGTTTTCGACGCCCTGTCCGTCTTCGGAGCTTCTGTTTTTTCCGGCGCCCCTTGCGTTTTCGGCGCTCTTATGGTTATCGGCGCCCCTTTGGTTTTTCGGCGCTCTTTTGATTTTCGGCGCCCCGTTGGTTTCCAGCGCCCCTGTGGTTTTCGGCGCGCCTTTTGGTTTTCGGCGGTTTTTGGTTTTCGGCGTAATGGTGGTTTTCAGCGTCTATTTGGTTTTCGGCGCTCCTGTAGCTTTTGGCGCTCCTTTTGGTTTTCTGAGCTCCTTTGGTTTCTGGCGCATCTTTGGTTTTCGGCACCCCTTTTTGTGTTCTGCGCTTTTTTTATGTTCGTCCTCCTTTTGGTTTTTGGCGACCCTTTGGTTTTCGGCGCCCTTTCGGGTCGGGGTGCTCTTTGATTTTCGGCATCCTTTTGGTTTCGGCGCTGCTCTGGTTTTCGGCGCTCTGTTGGTTTTCGGCGCCTCGCTGGTTTTCAGAGCCCTCTTTGGTTTTCGGCGTCCCTTCGGTTTTCGGCCTTCGTTCAGTTTTCGGCGACTTTTTAATTTTCGGCGACCCTTTGGTTTCCAGCGCTCTTTTGGTTGTTCGGCGCTTCTTTGGTTGTCGGCTCCCTTTTGGTTGTCGGCGCCCTTTTGGTTTTGAGTGCACCTTTGGTTTCGGCGCTACTTTGCTTTTCGGCGCTCCTTCGGTTTTCGGCGCCCTTTTGGTTTTCGACGCACCTTCGGTTTTCGGCGCCCTTTCGGTTTCTGCGTTCCTTCGTTTTTCGGCGCGCCTTTGGTGTTCGCACCCATTCGGTTTTCGGTGGCTGTCTGGTTTAAGGGGTGGGGCTTCCAAAAAAGGGAGGAGGGGAAGGGGGCTTGCGGCGGGGGGTTCAAGGCGGGGGGTAGCTAAATCCCCCCCGCTGGAAAGTGAGGGGGGGGGCTCCCCGAGCGCGAAAGGGAGGGAAAGGGGGAGGGGTAGCTTCCGAGGGGCGGGAAAAAAAAGAGGGGGGGGGGGCTTCCGGCAGGGGATGTCCAAGGGTCCAAGAGGGGGGGGCTCTCTCTCTCTCTCTCTCTCTCTCTTTCTCTCTCTCTCACTCTCTCTCTCTCTCTCTCTCTCTCTCTGTCTCTCTCTCTCTCTCTTTCTCTCTCTCTCTCTCTCTCTCTCTCTGTCTCTCTCTCTCTCTTTCTCTCTCTCTCTCTCTCTCTCTCTCTCTATCGTCATATGTGTATATACGCATGGATAGATGTATGTGTAGTTTATGTATATATGTATATAGGTATGTTCGTATACGTGTGTATGTGAGTATGTACATGTACAAGCATATGCACATACCAATTCGATGTACATGTAGATCCGTTGAGTACGCATATGTAGATCACGATGTACGTGTAAGTATATGTATATGTGCAACTTCATGCGCGAACGTCCATATATATATGTGCACATGTGTATGTATGATTGTACACATAAGTGTGTATATGCATATGCATGTGCGCATGCATTTCACATGCATGTATCCATATATATATATATGTGTGTTTATGTGTAAACATGTATATATGTGAACAATGATATGTGTAAGCATACGTGTATGTATACATGTGTGTCATGTATAGTATGGCTGTATGAGTGTGCATGTCTATGTATATCACACATGCATATATGCGTATACATATATGTATATAACTATGCACATATGCATGTATATATTATACATAAATACATACACGCATGCATACCTGCACGCGTGAATGCATACATACATACATGCATACGTGCATGCATGCATGCATGCATGGATACATACGGACCTACATACATACATCCATACATGCATACATACATACATGCACATATACATACATGCATGCATGCATACGTACACTCATACAGGCAGACAGGCAGACAGACAGACAGGCAGGCAGGCAGACAGACAGACAGGCAGGCAGGCAGGCAGGCAGAGAGGCAGACACACAGACAGACAGGCAGACATACACACAGATGCAGACATGTATACACACTGTAGTGCATACATACATACATGCAGACATACATGCATGCATGCATGCATGCATACATACATACACGTGTCTAAATGTACCATACAGGTGTGTGGATACATATAAACACATGTATACATGAATTCACGCCCACCCCCGCCACTGACCTCGAGCTTCATCAGCCCGTCCTTCAGCAGCTTGCCTCTCTTGTCTTCCATGTC